TCTGTGCTTGGCCAACGCCGACAAGCCCCACTGAGTTGCGTCAGTGGCTTGGCATGGCCAATTACTTGCACAAGTACACGAAGAATTACCTGGGTTGATCCAGCCGCTGTCCTCGCTGCTGAAGAAGGACGTGATCTGGGAGTGGAAATCGGACCACCAAGCTGCATTCGACTCGGTGAAGAAGAGCTTGGCCTCTGCGCCGATACTGAAGCTTGCTGATGACTCAAAGCCATTCCACGTCGTCTGCGACGCGAGCGATTTTGCCATCGGCTGTGCGCTGACGCAGTTCGATGATGACGAACACGAACGCGTTATCAGCTATCAGTCGCGCCAACTGAAGCCAGCCGAGAAGAATTACCCAGTCCACGACAAGGAGCTCCTGGCAATGCGGTACGCTCTGATCATATTCAGAGTGTACCTGCTCGGTGAACAGTCATTTGCGGTTTACACTGATCACGCATCGCTGCGGACAGCGATGAAGAGCCCTCACTTGTCGCAACGGATGGCCCGTTGGCTGTCATTCTACTCCGAGTACAACTTCGTTGTTCACTACAAGCCGGGCAAGAATAAGATTCTCGCCGACGCGCTGTCTCGGCGTCCGGACTACGATCCCCGTGAAGCGCTAGGACATCAGCTCGCTGATGAGGACGACGACGAATGTGCGGTCTGCGTGTCGTCAGGCATCAACTTGACGTTGACCACGCCCACGCTCCCGCTGGGCGACGAGATTGCTACAGCGTACGATGATGACCCTATATACGGCGCCATCATGAAGCACCTGCGTGCTCCTAGTAGTGACACGCTAAGTGCCCTGTCAAAGACCACGCGGAATCAGATCGATCGATATCGACTGGACGGTAATCTGCTCAAGTACAGCATCGACAGGTTCGATGGACCTCGAGTCGTCGTCCCAAACGACGCTGATCTACGTGCGCGCATAATCCACGAGTATCATGACGCCCCGACTGGAGGACATCTCGGTCGCGAGAAGACGTACGCGGGTCTGTCGAGAGACTTCTATTGGCCGCACATGTACAAGTGGGTACGCAAGTGGGTCCGCACATGTGAAACTTGCCAGCGAGTCAAACCGTCTTCGACGTCTCAGGCCCCATTGCGCCCTCTTCCGGTCGCCACGGAAGCCTGGCGCTCCATTTCGATGGACTTCATCTTCGGTCTTCCGCCCGATACAGCCGGGCGCACAGGTGTACTTGTGTTCGTCGATCGTTTCAGCAAGATGGTCCATCTCGTTCCGGTGGCGGCCTCAATCACCGCGGAAGAGTCCGCGGCCCACTTCGTCGACGTGATTTTTCGTCACCACGGCCTGCCGGAGTCTATCGTGTCCGACCGCGACCCGCGGTTTACATCCGCGTTCTGGTCACGCCTCTTCGAGCTCTTGGGAACCAAATTGCTGATGTCAACTGCGGCACATCCGGAGACGGATGGACAAACAGAACGCGTCAACCGCGTCCTTGAAGACGTTCTCCGCAGCTATGCAACTTCGTACACGAGCTAAAGCTCGTTCCTACCGCTAGCCGAGTTCGCACTCAACAACGCCGAGCACTCCTCGACGGGTATGACGCCGTTCTTCGTGAACAACGCTCGCCACCCACGTGTTTGGGCACTTCTCGCCGTGGGTCACCCCACGAATGCTGGCGGCTCCACCCTTGGTGGGGGAGAACCTCCTTCGGTCGACATGGATGCTGAAGCTGCGCTCAGCTCTAGGGACAACGTGTCCGTGTCGTGGTCATCACCGGTACGTGAACCGGTGTCTCAGCACGCACCGGTAGCCTCACCGGTGTCAACAAGCCTGCCGGCGCACTCGACTTCAGGGTTATCTTCGGGTGTAGCCAGTGCGAACGCCCTGACTCGTTCTCCGTCCAGGCAGTCCATCGAACCTCCTCGGCATACTGCATCTCCGATAACGAGATGGACGTCGCAGAACTTGATCGATCCAGGCAGCAAGATTCGTGAGCAAGAAGTTACCACGGCAAACTATACACCGAAACCCTCGGTGCTTCCTGCCGATCGCTCGGCAGTTGCGGAATTCGTCATGCAAAGGCAATCCATCGCAAGGTTCGTCCGCGACGCACTGCAGAACGCAGTGGACAAGCAAAAGGAAGAAGCTGATAAGCACGGTCGAAAGAACGTGAATGTATTCAAGATAGGAGATCGCGTTCTCCTATCGACCGAGGGAATCCGCGCTTCAGCCGTGACCAACCTCGGCGCCAACAAACTTGCCCCACGCTTCATCAGTCCTTTTCGTGTAACCAAGGCTGTGGGCGACGCCTACACCTTGGACATCCCGTCATCACTTAGACTCCACCCGACGTTTTACGTCGGGCGACTCAAGCGGTACTTCCCTGCGACGATTCCTGATTCAAGCCAGCAGACGGAGCATGCGTCGGGCGACCAGCCCGACGAGCCTGACGCGCCAGAAAGCCGTCAGCCCCTGGCGCCCGCTCTCGCGGACGATCTCCCTGCTGGGCAGAGCCAAGCACATGCGTCTCCAATCCCCGTAGGCGAGATAACAGCTCCCGATTCGACTGACGAAGCTCCGACGCGATCTGCTCAGCCCGCCAGGCACGATCTTCCGCCCGCTCAGCCCCAACCTGAGCGTCCAACGCGCGGTTCGAAGCTGCCTCCACCTCGCCCTGAACGTACAGGGCGTACGCCGTATCATCGTGAAGGCCCACCACCGATAATTGACTCGGTGGGTGATGCGCGCTGGATTGTGGAGCGTATCGTTGACCACGAAGTTCCCCACATCTCGACCGCTCAACGAAACGTCCGTAGTCGTGTTCCTCGCGCGGTTCCGACCGCGCGCCGCTACTTGGTACGTTGGCTCGGCTATCCCCCAGAACATGATACGTGGGAGCCCCGCGCCAACCTTCTCCGCGACGTTCCGGACGTGGTCAACGAGTATGAGACAATGCAGCTTGAGAAGAATAATTCCGCGGGTCACCCCGCAGAGACCATGAACGAGATCGAGAACGGCCACGAATACGACCCGCACGAGGAGGTGATAACGACGTCGCGCTCCGACGCGTGCAACGTCGGCGTGAGCCGCGGCGAACACTGACACAACTTGTCAGTGCAAGAATGAAAACAAGAAACCACCGGCGACATCGAACCGGTGACCAGTGGGTTGGCAACCCGACACGCTACGACGGCGCCGAAACGACTTCGATTACCAGCGGCGACACGGTGGCCAACAAGTACCTGATTCTGGTGACACCAGCGGTGACAACGTGATGCTCACTTGGGTTGCTCAAGTGGTTGACTTCCGTCGACAAGTCTCATGTCTTCGAGATGTTCGAAGCTATTCCGTTCTGGCAGCAAAAACAACACTCGCGTGTGCGTGAGTGAATGCGCCTGGTGGGAATCGAACCCTGGCGTCCTGACTGGAAGCCCCATGCATTGACCATTGCGCCACGAAGTCGGCTTCGTGAGGTTCCTCATGTCTGTGATCCAAGTGCCTCCAGCTCGGAGTCTTCTAAGTCACATGTACGCTGGGCACTTCGTCGATGTGTGTCTTGGGAGCCGAGACGCACAGTGACGGTCCTCGCAGTACATCCAGAGCTTGTGGCGCACCTGTCGACCCTGGGCTTGCCCTTGTTACCACCGCCAGCGACGCGCTGGCGCTGCCGCCCTTCGCGCTGTCTCCGATGTCTCCGCCTTGTCGGTTTTCGAGTTTTCTTCAAATGTGTTCCGTGCGCTTATGTTGCGTAAGCGCAACTTAGAGAGGAGGGTGATGTAATGGGCCCAACTCCAATTACATAAGTAGGTAAAGTGGCACACGGGTAGCGTGTGCCAAAGTGTCATCATCTGATTGGTTGATAGTGAGGAGCCAGACTCACTTATTGACCAATCAGATATAGACCTGTGTTTGAGTGGTTCACACGAGGCCAGGGGTAGCCGCCCTGGTCCTAAATAAATCAGAGTTGAATTTGACACAAACCTAAGACTTGGTTTTATTATTGCGAGCTTCCTCCGCACTATAGTGTAAGCTAGTAACGGTATCTCTTACCCCGTTACAAATGAAGAAGTGTCTGAGACTGAAGAGTCAGCTATGACGATAAGAGACCCTGGAGAACTCTCGGAACTGGCCCTGCACGACGAACAACCCGTGATTGAAGATCGAGCCAGGTTTTGTGTCACCGGATCAAGTTTGGTGGGCGAGGTAAGCTCAGCTATAAGTACGCCGAACGCTTGTATTATCCATTCGGCGAGGGTGAGCTCGGCATCGGCGAACCCACACACTGAGAGCGACTCGGACGTGGCCACAACATGCACGAACGTTCGGAAATGTTCTGAACAATTGGAGCGATCGAAACGATCGGAACTAGCGGTGTTATAATCCAGCACTAGTTAAAGGTAAGTTTCAGACTGAGTGTATTTATATGTAGGGTTACCTTGAGTTCGATTTACAAGCTTAAGTCACCTTTACTGTTAGTAATGGCCTCGAGCGCCCCTAATACAGTACTGCACCCCGTTTTCGCGTCCTCGGACCTATGATAAACTTCCGGATGTAATGATCCAGAATCTAAAACGAGCAATGATTTGCATGGTAAAATATAGTTTATTTGCAAATCCTATGTGGTCCACCCCTGCGTACCAGACATTCCATAGAGTGATAGGCCGGCCTGATAAATAAACTTTCAAATGTGGCCAAACCATAAATATGTTATTTTTACAGTTAGTTAATACTATTTTCAGTTGTTCTGTAAGATAAAAATATTATCAGTAATATTATTTTTGAGGATCCCAGCTGAGGACAGACTGTATTGCAATACTTGACGACGTACAGTCCTTCAGACACTCCTGCTTAAAGCTGTCTCCTCGCCACCCCATCACCTGACGAAAAAAAAAAATCCTATGGCAACGTTCATGCAGTTTTAAAATCACTTGAGCAAGGAGCTGTAAGAACGAGACAACTGGAGACAGCGAGAGATAAAAACGGAAGTTGCTTCACGTGTTACCTACACCGTGGACTGCAGCAGTTAATTACTCGATTGACCCGAGGCTTCCACCACAGAGCCCGAATTCGGAGGTCCATTCATCTGCATAGGATTCATGACCTGCTGGGGCATCTGCATTGCCTGCTGGTTCATTGATTGTTGGCCCATCGACATGTTCTGCTGTGACATCGCCATACTCTGCTGAGCCATACTTTGTTGAGGCATGGTCATACTCTGCTGAGGCATCCCCATGCTCTGCTGCGCCATCGCCATGCTCTGATAAGGCATATTCTGTTGCTGCATACCCTGCTGGGCCATACTCTGCTGCTGCATTCCTTGCGTCCCCGGGTTCATGCGCTGCATCTGAGTAGGGGGCATCATGCCGTAGCCCTGAGGGCCCATCTGGAAGCCCATGTTGGGGGCCATGGCGCCTCGGTTGTCTCCATAACTGGTAGGAATCTGCATGGCGTTGCTCATGCGAACATTGTGCGCCATTGCTCCACTACCAGGGACACCGTACGGCATGCCTCCGTTAGCAAACCGCTGCTGTTGTTGCTGTTGTGCCATCGGGTTCATTTGTGCATACTGTTGAGCCATCATCGGGTTCATGCGTGCCTGGTATTGCGCCTGAGCGTACGCCTGAGCTTGGGCCTGGGCTTGAACTTGAAGCCGCGCTTGATGAGCCTGTGCCTGAGCTCTCGCCTGTGCTTGGGCCTGAGCTTGGGCCTGAGCTTGAGCCTGGAGCTGCGCTTGGTTGGCCATTGGCATCTGCATCAAACCAGCTCGGGAATACTGCTGCTGTTTTTGCTGCTGCTGGGCCATTTGTCCGTACACCTGCGGTTGTCTCGGCGACGTCTCCGACGATTCGTCTGCCCACTTAGCCAGCGTCATGAGGTTCTTGTTGAGGTTCTTTCGCTTCTTGTCCAGTTTCTCCGTGAACTCCCCCAATTGCGCTGTACCCTTGCCGTGTTTGATCTGCGTATTGAGCTCGATGATCTCCACAATGAGACTCGAGTTCTCATCCAGCATGGCCTGCAATGTTTACCGGAGACATTTTTCTCTCGTTAGAAGACACGCTTTGAGATCGCGATTAAAGACACACCCAACCTGAATCTGCTCCGTGCTAATCTGCTTGGGTTCCTGGGGCTGCTGCTGTTGTTGCTCCTGGAACTGCTGTGGCACTGCGTACGCCCGGTTCATGGCCATCTGCGGGGCTGCTGCGTCCATCGTTGATTCCGCTCGTTGATTTCCGATAAAGTACAATTATTGCAATTGGATGAAAATCAAATAAAAGTCATTTGATTGGTTGATTCTAAAGCGCGTTCAAACCGCTGGTTTTTGGCAATAGCAATTATGAGCGGCATGCAGCGCTTCCTCCGATTGAGCGCGGTCGAAGCTGAGGCCGCCATGAAGCCTCGTCTGGTGGACGGCAAGTGGAAGCAGCCGCTGATCTCTGGCCGCAAGATCGCTATGGTAAAGAAGCACGCGACACGCGAAGGCCTCATGGGCACGTGGGAAGAGGGCAAGGGTGGTTGGCTCGAGACATGGGACCGACCGCAGAAGCACCACGTGATGCGGCCGCTCAAGGGCCACAAGAACCAGCGCAATGAGTTTGAGCGGTGGGTGATTGGACAATTGGAGTGCTGTGCAGTCGTTCTTTGATTGACGACTGGGTTTGTGTGTGTATGTATGTGTTGGTTGGTTGCTGGAAACAGCGTCAAGAAGGTGCAGGCAGCACTGGCAGCCATGCCCACCAAGATCGCGGAGCACAAGAAGGCAGTCAAGCAGGCCAAACCTCTCAAGGGACTGGACAAGTGGCTCAACGAGAAGGACCCGTACTAGACGTAAAAGGCAGGGGCTGAGGGGGGATTCAACCTTGTCAGAACACACAAGACATATTCCAATTTATTAATTGAGGGTAATTGCTGAAGTGTTTTTAAACGACGGGTTATGGTGTCGCTTTGAACACTACCTGAGTTACGGTTAAAGCATGTATATTTGTGCAGCCGAGTAAACTCTAGCGCCTTACACTAAATTGTTTCTGAAACGTCGCGCCTAGCGTTGTATTTACTGCGAGGTGGCATCGACTGCAGTGCGCTTGGTCGAGAGTGCGTAATCGAGAATCATGGGCTTAACCAAGCACGGTCGAGTAAAAAAAGGTATCGTTGCACCTATGAGTGACGACGAGGACAGCAATAATACTGTCAACCTCCACCAAAGCAGCACCAACTCGTCGAGGCAGGAAGCAAGAGGCGTGTCCTTTTCTTCTTCGCGAGGGAAAATATGGTGCATGTCATGCTCTTGTTTAGCTGTCCGAGTCAATGTGAACTGATTCCGCTTCGTTCCTGGTGCAACTTCTCCAGGTTGATTCTAGTCGTTAACATTTCTATCGTCACCATGTTCATCTTCATGAGTTCCACGCGCTTCCCGTCTCTGCATGGAGAAAGTATTGTGAACGCTGCGCTGGAGCAAGACGAAGAGCACCCAGGACCAATTGACAAGAACGCAGAGCTTATTTTCTCACTGGCAGCCGTTCACTTCGCTAATACGAAAGAACCACAAATGCAAGAAACCGGAGGCTCCTCAAAAATTACGAGCACTGATCCTCTGGATAAAGGACCCGACTTGAAGGATGCAACCAAAAGAGAGACAGAAGCACCACACTTGGTGACACCAGGTGATGTTACAGGGGTAACTCCTTCAGTCCATACCGATATCCACGAGGAGGAATCCGAAACACTCTTACCGGCCGTGACTCTACAGATTGGTGAACCGGTATCCAGTGTAAACTTTAGCAAAGACGCCAAAGCAACCGATGCAACAAATGACTCTTCTTCAGCTAATGAGCCAACAACTACAAATCGACGATCTCCAGCTGAGATTGCAGACATTATTTCGCGAATGAAGGAATCGCAGGATGTATCTTCAGAAACGCTATCTCCGTCCCCAGAGCAGCCAGATGAAGCCGATTACAGCTCATCAACGGCAACTGCAGCGCCGCAACTTGTAGATGTCGAAACTTCTAAAGTCAAGTCCAAAGGTAATTATGATTCGAGCTAACTGATGCCCTCAACTTTCAACAGAAGCTCATTTTATAAGTGTGACGATTCTCAGATCTTCTTGATAACTTATCGGTGTGGCTCACAAGTGACTCGGGTGTTGAGGTTGAGAATTTGGAGGGTTGCTTAGCGTCATCAGGAAAAGATGTCGTCGCTTGTGGGGTAAACAGGTATCTCGCTCTCTATGAATGTTACCTCTAGGACGTCGGAAGCTTACATATTCGTGCTGGGTCAAATGGTACATGTAGCTGGACAAACCAAGTTGCAAGCATAGATATCAACTTCGCCGCCTCAACATCTTTCCGCCCCGCGTCACAAAAATCTGTGTGGATTCCGATCGCTCCAGACACATACAACCAGCTTCCAACCGTGTACTTTACGTCGTGTCCTATGGTGACAGATATGCTGAGAGTACACGAGTCAATGACAGTGCTGTTCGTGCTCTCTCCAGCTCAGATTGAGGTGAGAACTCGATCCACGACGAACTACAGCTCGTTAGATGATAATCTTTTTTATTTTTTGGGTTATACTAGGCTGGCGACTCGTACACTGGACAGAAATTCTTCGGGAACTCTCCGTATGGACAGTTTGCTCTTCACGGTGGTAAACCATCGTTTTTTGCCAATCACGGCCTTGTAGAGAGTGCTCAGGTGATCCCCTCGGGACAGTTCTCGCTTGTGACGTACCGTGTGGTTCCAGGCTACGTCCAAATCAAGGTCAATGGTGGTTCTTGGGGTGGTGAAGCTCCAGTTGAAGGCGACGATAGACGCATTCGAATCACAATTAACGATGTGGTGAGCCTCGGCAACAGTAAGGGTGCGTGCGATACAAACGCGTTCCAGGGTAGGATTGCTGAGGTGCTCATTTACGACGTTGAATTGGACAATGCGAAGATTGAAATGGTGGAAAAATTCCTCCACGAGAAGTGGTGGGGGAATAAGCCGTTCCCAATAACAACAACGCCAGTGCCTGTAGTTGCAGAGACTGAACCTGTTGTGTCTAAGGTTTATAATCTATTGACAGGCCCAGTGGCTGAATCACCCGGAAATGCCGCACAGGTCAATGAAATGAGCCAGCAACCTTCCTCAACAGGGAAGCCACATGCTGAAGACACCGAGCAAGCGTCTACTCCAGCAGAGAGATATCAAATCGATCATCGAAACAGCGATGCTCCGGGGAAATTTTCGAGAGTGGATGAGGAGGACGTGAACTCGCCCAAGTTCGATCCGCGAGTCAGCATTTTCGAGTGGACAGCTCCTAGCCAAGCTGATCCAGCAAATGCAGCGCGGTGGAGGAACACAGTGAAGGAAAAGGTGGAATACATCCGCAACTTTCAGCTGGGTGGTGACGTACTACGCACACTGATCCGCCAGCACAAGGACGAATTGGTGATGTTGCGAGAGGAGCTCTTCGGTTGACCCTGACCTTTATCATGGTGCCCAACAATGCAACCTCGTAAAAAAATGGTTTTTATTAACCGTTTTTATTGGATGAAATTATTCGTTTCCCTAACGTATTGCGTGCGTTCTTCAAAGAGCCATCTTGTCGAAGTGTAACGTTATTAATAGCTCACTGTTCAACCAGCTACTTCATGAAGTATGCATTAGAGGCGATGTCATGAAGTATCCCGAAAGTAACACTAGTTTTCAAAGCAAGCTTAGTCAAGCTCCCGCGCGCTATGGCGTCTCAACGCTTGTCATCGTGGCTCTGCGGCCCTGGGGCTCAAGCCCCGGATGCAGCCGACGCAGCGGATTCGAAGCTGCAGGATATGAGCAAGCCCACAGCCAGTTCCAGCGACTCACCACTGGACATCAGCCTCGTGCAGCTGCGTGCCAAAGAGACCATCACGCGCATCAGCCCCGAGAAGCTCTCGCTCGTGGAGGAGATCGACAGTGAGCCGGACGATGCAGAGTTCGACGAGAGAGCGCACTGGACTAGGCGCGGATCCAGGAAGAAGGCCAGGGCGTCACGTCGAGCCGCGGCTCTGGATAAGTCGCAACCGTCGATTGCGCTCTTCTGCGTGAAGGAGGCGGCCTTAGCTGCCGATAAACCGGATACAAAAGCAGAGGAGGATACACTAGACGGTGCTATTGCAACCTCACAACCCGAAGAAGAAGGAGAGCAAGAGCAGAAACAGGAGGAGGAAGAAGGAGAGCTCCAATCTCGAATTGGACTCGGCAGTCGAGAAGGAAGAGCACGTAGCTATTGTAATGAGCTCTGGACGGCCCAAACGCCAGGCAGTTGTACGAGCAGAGATCTTGCAACAGCAACAAAAGCTATTGGACGCTGTTGCTGCAAGGAAGAATGCAACGCCGTTTTTGACTCCGCCGCCCTTGACCAAGAAAGCAGCAGCAGAGGGCAACGCAACGACTAGTGGGCGCAAAAGAAAATTGGACATGAACAAGAAGAAAATGTCTCCGCCCTCGAAGAATGGATCTACAACGAGCTCACCTGGGGCCAACAAGGCAGCACAATCATTCTTCTTAAGTGAGCCGGAAAAGAAGCAGATGCAGGAGATCAATGCCGTATCTTTGTTCCGGGAACAACTTCGACAGACGCGTGAAAAAGATCTCGCGTTTTTCGCTGGTAAAACAGCGAACCCATTTTTTCAGGCCCGCTCCAGTACCAAGCGAAGCAGCAGTGCTGAAAATGACGACGGAGTTGCTGAAATGAACGAAGATGGTGAAGCTCGCGACGCAAAGGGGCGCCGTGGGAGTCGCTGGAGTAAACCTTTGTCGCTGTTTCCTGAGGTGCAGCACGTTTTAACGGTGTGTCTGGAGCACGAAGACATGGACATAGACTCCAAGGATTGGAATCCTCCCAGGAAAAAAGCGCAGCCAACTTCAACTCACTGTCCAATGGCCGTAGTAGTGATCGAAGACGACACAGCTGCAGACGGAAGCTTGCCCACTGAAGTTATGGATCAGCTAAAAGCAGCCATGAATGGCCAAGTCTGTACAGAATCCTCGTTCTCAGAGCAGTTTTGGTTCCGAGAGTACTTGGACGCCTCCAGTCTCCCAGCTGCGATTACCGGGGCAATTGATGTTACTTCTTTACGTCCAGAGATTGCAGAAGCGGCTGCAGCCGAGTTGGCAGAAAGGGAAACGCTGCTGGTTGATGAGTTGGTGGAGACGCGTGGCATGCGTGAGAAGCGAGTGCGTGAACTCCTCGACGGACTGGAACAGGCCAGAGCGAAGCGCCTGGACCGGAAACAGAATCTGTCCTTGGTGGATCGCTACTTACCCGTGAATGCCAGTGGCCTTGTGGGGAATCAGGAGCCCCTTCACACGTTGTCGTCGTGGCTAAGTGCGTGGAAAATTGGTGGTGGTGACAAGGAGAAACTGGATTGCTTTGCATCGGAGCTTTTCACCTTTGAGGACGGTGATAGCGACAGTGAGGACGAGATTGGAGACTTGTGTCGCCTGTTTATTCTAAAGGGCGAGTCGGGATCCGGTAAATCTGCTGCTGTCTATGCTTGTGCTGAGGAACTTGGCTACGAAATTATCGAGATCAACGCGGCTCAGAATCGATGTGGAAAGAGTGTCGTTGAGCTTTGTGGTGAAGCTACACAGTCCACTCGAGTGCTCCACATAGGCGGCAAGGACGATAAGTGCAAGAAGAAGCACAAGAAGAAACGCAGACGACAGTCTGAGGGGCGTAAAAGCTTGGAGAAGCCCACAGCAGCGTCGTTATCGCTTGTGCTGTTTGAGGATGTGGACCTGGTTTTCGACGATGACAAGGGATTTCTCAATGCTGTGTGCTCGATTGCCAAACATTCCAAGTGTCCCATTGTTGTAACTTGTGCGCAACTGCCCGATGCCTTCCCCTTAAAACCTGGACGACTGTGTCGTGAGCTCCACAAGCCTTCAATGGACGAGTTCACCACTTGGATGCGTCTCGTGGCTTTCATTGAAGGGCTGCAGTTGGACCCGTCTCTCATTAATGCTCTGGGTGAATTCTTTGAGCG